TGGGGGAGGGGGAGGAGGGAGAAGATGGAGGATGGGGAGGAGGGAGGGGATGAGGAGGAGGGGAGGGAGGAAGAGGAGGAGGGGAGGGGGGAGGTGGGAGAAGGAGGAGGAGGAGGATAGGAAGGAGGGGGAGGAGGGAAGGGAGGGGAGGGGAGGAGGAGAGGAGGGGAAGGAGCAGGAGAGAGAGGGAGGGAGAAGGGAGGGGGGAGAAGGATGGGAAGGAGGAAGGAGAGGGAGGGAGAGAGAGAGAGGAGGATGGGAAGGAGGGCAGAAGGAAGGAAGGAGGGAAGAGGAGGAGGAGGGGAGGGAGGAGGGAAGAGGGGGAGGGGAGGAGGGAGGGGGAGAAGGATGGGGGGATGGAGGGAAGAGAGGGAGGGGAGGGAGGAGGGAAGAGGGGAGGGGAGGGAGGAAGGGGGGAGAAGGATGAGAAGGAGAGGGAGAGAGGAGGAGGGAGGAGGAGGGATGGAAACGGAGGAGGAGGCGGGGAGGAGGAGGGAGGAGGGCGAGGAGGGGAGAGGGATGGGAAGAAGGGAGGAGGAAGAGGAGTAGGGGAGGGGAGGAGGGAGGGGGGAGAGGGATGGGAAGAAGGGAGGAGGGGAGGTTAGGGGAGGAGGGAGGAGGGGAGAAGGATGAGGAGGAGGTGGAGGAGAGGCGGGAGGGGGGGAGGGGAAAGGATGGAAAGGAGAGAGGGGGAAGGCGGGGGAAGGAGGAGGAAGAGGATGAGAAGGAGAGAAGAGGGGGAGGGGGTGCGGTGGAGAGGAGGGAGGGAGAGAGGGCGAGAATGGGAAGGAGGGAGATGGGGAGGGAGGGGAGGAGGAGGAGGATGGAAGGAGGGGGGAAGGGAGGGGAGGAGGAGGGTGGGGAGGTGGAGAGGGAGGAGGAGGGTGGTGGAGGAAGAGGAGGAGGAGAAGGTGGAGGAGCAGGATGGGGAGGGGTAGGAAGGGGGAGGGGAAGGGAAGAGGGAAGGGGAGGGAAGGAGTAGGAGGAAGATGGGGAAGGGGGAGGGAGGTAGGGAGAAGGAGGAGGAGGACGAAGATGAGAGTGAGGAAGAGAATAAGAAATGAGAGAGAGCGGAGGAGGAGGAAGAAGAGGAAGAGAAATAGAATAAGGAATAGTAAGAAAATGAGGAAAGAGGAGGAAGAGGAAGAGAAATAGAAAAAGGAATAGTAGGAGGAGGAGGAGGAAGAAGAAAAGGCCACGGCAGATACCGTAAATAAGACAACTTTCTCGTTTGTGTGTGTGTGTGTGTGTGTGTGTGTGTGTGTGTGTGTGTGTGTGTGCGTGTGTGTGTAAGTGTGTGTTTGTAAGTGTGTGTGTGTAAGTGTGTCTGTGTGTGTAAGTGTGCGCGCGTGCGTGTGCGTGTATTCCGCGTATAGAAATAAATCGTGTCAAATATATACCGTCATCCACTTTTCCTTACAAAATTATGACTATTTTATTTCCTACTAGAACTTAGGTGAGACTTAATCTTTTGTTTAAAAAAAATAATCCAGCCTTTTAATTTCTAACATTTTTGATATTTTACCTCAGGCAACCATCGAAGTTTTATTCATCATTCTGCAACATATTCCTCTCAGGACCTGAATGACTTCGAAACAATATAAACTGAGCCTTGTTAACTTATGGGAATCAATGAACCTATGACTATGACTACTGAATGTGATAAATAAAGAATGCATATATATTTTTTTCCGGAATTAATGAACCATTGTACCATGGTCTTTATCCTGAATTCATAAAACTGTTTTCAGGGAGTGTCATGCCATTTTTTTTTTAAGCTCGTGCACTTAACAACAGTCCAGGGATATTAAATTGAATAAATATCTGGTTCTAACGAAGGCAGTGACGCACAGAGTGGCATTTAGCATTCAAGCAGAGACGGGTTTGCATGCCTTCGGGAACTCATGAATCTCCCTTTCGGGCGTGCATGGCGTGCTTCAGCAGGCAAGGGACAAAGCTATCCTGTTTTTGTGTGTGTGTGTGTGTGTGTGCGTGTGCGTGTGCGTGTGTGTACGTGTGTGTACGTGTGCGTGTGAGTGCGTGCGTGCATTTCATGAATATCTAACTAAATCATGTTTTTTTCAGGGGTTAAATTTCCAACAGTATCTTCCTTCAACCAGCCTTCTAAGCATGCATATTAATCATATCATCCAGATGAAACATATCCAATTAACCCTTCTCTCTCTGTCTCTTCTGTTGATGCTTATATAATACGATGCGGCTCGATATATCCATGAATGCTTTGTTATTCATTAAACATTCTATGAGCCTGTGATTAATTAATCGATACTCATATTGATTATCTAAGAGTAACTTTCCATAACTTCCTATGTCTTTTTCGAAGTCGCCGATGCCAGACAAAAAAAACAAACAAAAAAAACATTCAGAACCTAGGTGAGAATTAATCCTTCTTTAAAACAAAACAAAACAAAAACAAACAAACAAACAAACAGAAAAAAAACATCTAGCAGTTTAATTTCTAACATTTTCAATATTTTACCTCAGACAACCATCAAAGTTTTATTCATCATTCTACAACAAACTCCTCTCAAGAAAATTCCGCTAACACTTAAGAGGACCTGAATGACTTCGAAACAATCTAAACTGAGCCTTGTTAACGCATGAAGATCTATGAACCAGATAACACAGCGGAAAACAGGTGGCCAATAGTACTCTTCGTATGTAGGCCTACCGTCTTCATCATCTGGTGGCAGCAATCGACCATCTGCGAATCGACTTGACACGGTTGTTACAAGTTATTATTATTGTTTTTTTTAGTTATTTATTTATTTAGTTTGTAAGTCGAGTTTATGTGATAAATCCTCGGACTCAAGTTGCATGTTCAATTGCAAATCGTCCTCTATGGGGCTTTTTA